TTTGTATGACAACCCAGTGACAAGGATGCTTGCAGCGTCAGTACGTTATGACGTCACGTGTGCCATTGAGTTTAGGTTTGTGAAAATATACAAATTTGCACTGTTCAAGTGTTGTCATTGAGTTAGAGAGAGTAAATGTCATGAATAAATTTGACATTAAGCATAATCCAAGTTGAAGGGTTGCATCATTTTCAGCCCCTTTTTGGCATCTGCATTTGGTAGCAGACCAAATTGACAAAGACCACGCAGAATAATGTAGTATTTTAATTCCACAGCAGAGAAAGCTGTGTAATCTCTGTAAGTGGGTCTAGAAAAACAGTGTATCGGTATTGGTATTGGTTATCGACCAAATAAGTTTTAACATATCGGCAGATCGGATATTGGCCAAAAACCCAATATCGTGCATCCCCAATTAAAACCCTTGATACTTTTGTGCACTGAAAATATCCACTCACAAACAAAAAAGTAAACGTTTTTATGCTTTTAGAAGGCGATTGTCTGCTTGCATTTATCACAAGATCCCCTGTGGTAGAAATATTTGAACTGTGGCCAGACAAAGAAGGATGGCAAATTCATCTTTAGAACCCCCATGTTATATTTTGTCAAAGTAACTGAAAAATGCATGAAACTCACCTCTGATTTCTGCACATCAATCTTTCCTACACCGACAGCTTGCGATTTACTTTAACTTGGTAAAGTTTAGTTTAGGTAAAGCAACTAATTTGTCAACAAATCAAAGGTAGAGTGTTAAGCTAAAGCCCAGTCACATGACCTGTAGTTATTAGTTAACTTTTTTTGGCTACCACTCATCTGACTCCCACCTCCATTCTTTTCTTTGTCACCGCTGCAGGCCTCCTGCATCCATGCTGGGTGTACTGGCAAGCTAAACACTAGATAATGTTGCACTCCACTCTTTTTGGACTGTAGTGGCTTGTGATTGGCCAAAAGAAATGCAGACATTTGTTTCGCCTTTACTCCCACTTGACAATTTCTGACATTTTCTCCTACTTTGGCACAGCCCCGAGAGTGTAAAGTGTGGGAAGTGTCGAGAGAAGCACGACTCCGCGAGACTTGTTCTTTAATCCGAGGGATATGGGGGTGGTGCGGTAGATTTTATTTATGTTTTTTTTTTTTTGTCAACTTAAAACCAACAAAACTCTTAAATCTTTGCTCCAGTTTTTGCTCTCCTACCATGCCATCCCCACGGAGAGCCATCTTCAAAAGACTTTTCCCCTTCTGGCTGGTTTGGTGTTTTATTTAGTGCAGACTCGTGCTCTTAAACTCAAGACCGCTTAGGGTGCACGGGGGTTTTCTGTGTAAGGAAATATGCCCACAGTGCTGTGAGTTTAATCAGCATTCCTAACCCATGCATGTATCCTTTTTCTTGTCCTTCACCTCTCATTGGCTTTCTGTTGTTTCGCTGCTCAACAGTTGTTTGGCATCTAATACCAAACATTGACTCATTCTTTGATGTTACACACTGTCTTGATTCTGTAACAGCCAACTGGGAGACATTTCTGCAGCTTGTTAAATCTGCTCTTGTTTGAACAATCTCAGCCTGACAGAGCCTGATGACGATGAGCTCACATGTGAACGTGAGACGCGAGCGAGCACGTTAGTGTCCCCGCCAACGCAGCATCCTTTACGGTGTTGTTGGGAGATGTTATTAGGGAGCTCATCGCCTTTCTCCTCTGAGAGAATGGCTGTGCGATTATGAAGTCATCAGCTTTGAACCACCGAGGCTACGGAGAAGCACCCCTCCTCATGGGTCCTCAGGGTGCCATTGATTGGTGACCATGTGTTTGTGCCTGATAGACTGTGAAATGGTGTGTTGCTGCACGGCTGTGTCACACCTGCGTCCCACCAAAGTGATTGATTGGTTTGGTCATGTGGAATGTTCCCATCTGGTCCACAGTAATGCATTTTTTTTTTCTCATTTGTGAATAACAAGCACTGGCAGGAGAATAGTTGGGTTCGGGAAATGGCAAAGGCCAAGCGAAAACATTTTCCCCTGTCCACCCCTCCCCACCTTCCCCATTTACCAAGTTAGAAAGAATTCAAATGGACAGAGCCATGGCACCTGATTATCCTGGAAAGGAATAAACACAATCAGGAAGCTCCCGTCCACTCTCTTGTGTAAAAATGGAATTTGGAAAAAAACAAACTAACAATTGAGCTTGTGTGAAAGGTGGTAGCTCTGGGTTTTAAAAATCATATTTCCAGCCACAGATTATGGACTAAAACACCATATATTTGTCATTTTGCTGATTAAGACAACTTGTTTTGATTTGTAACCTCTTTTGTATTTGTAGCCACATCCAAACACAGGGGATTTTTTTTTTTATCCCCCTGAGCTTAAGTCTTATTTTGTTTCTTATTCTTGCTTTCTTCCCAGTTTGGTTTCCCTTAATCCCAGTCTCTCGCCTTTAATTGATCTATTCATTCCACCTAATGGCTAATTACACATCAGCTTGCATAAGCAGATGCATTCATCACCCTAGTACATAATAATCAGTGACATTTCAACAAAGAAAAAATATAAATATGCAAATAAGAACTCATTAACATTTGCTCTTGCTGTTTTGAATAATGTCACTGCTGACAAGGCTGTACACAGAAATGGATGCTGAGCTCAGGGCGAGGAAGACACGATTCCCTCTGCGTTTTGTTGCTCTTTCATGTTCCTCTGTCTGACTGTTGTTTCTCATTCTGCTCTGCAAACATTCTTCTGCCAGCCAGGGAGGAAGCTGATATGGCACCCCCTCCCCTGTTTCCTCATCCATGCTAACCTAACCTCTAACCCAGCCAGCTTTCATTTACTGTGGAAAAAAAAATCTGTTGAATGCATCAAACAGCTTTGACAGAATGGATGTACTCAAACTCTTGAAAGGGAAACAAAAGGAGGCATGTTAAAAGGTGTGATGAAAAGACGAGTGAGTGTACATTTGATGTGCCACAGAAATGTATTAGTAACCATGGAGCTGGTCTAATTTCACTCAGAGGCATCCAGACGGGCCCAGACTTGAACTTTTTGTAGGAAAGATTTTATCGGCACTTAATTTATTTTTCTCAGAGGCTGATCTTTGTAGCTCAACACATTTTTTTTTCAATAAATGTTACCATTAAAAAGTAATACTGCATGATTTTATTCAGGTTTGGTTGATGTAGGGAGCTAAAGCTGTATTTTGTTTATGTTTAGCATGAAATTATTATCTTTTAACATTTTAAGAATAATATTTTATGATAATGAGCCGCGAAAGCCATTTGTCTTAAATATAGGCCCAGACAACAACAAACATGTTTAATAATACGGTAATAAAAAGATAATAAAAGAAAAATAAACTAGTTTAATTCGTTTAAGCTTTTCTTGGCGCAATAGGAAGGAGATAAATCTGAATTTGGGGGTGGTATAAAAAAAGCCTTTGAAATGCATCTGAGAAGCAGTGAAGCACGCTCACTAATTGGCTAGTTTTATCACAACGGTTTTGAATTGATCACTAGAGATATGAAGGT